TATCCACCAAAATATAAATATGCAAATTCCCATGACTGCAAGTTGGCTTTTTCTGTGTTATAGATGGGACCTTATCATCCTGTACATTACAAAATATCCAAGTGTTAATTATTTTTGCCCATGATCAGTTTTGCTCTTATGGCTCCTAAGCAAAGATTAATGAGACTTCATGGATGTATACAATTCGTTATATTCACTTGGCACCATACCCCTTTAATTCACAAGTATTCTGAGTATTTTGGTCACAGTACTAAGCATTGCAACTTAATAAAAAAAATTAAACCTTCTACTCTTTATAAATGCACTTGAAATGCTAAAAAGATGGTAGGTCCACTTAAGAGGAATTCCTTAAGAGGAATGATCCAATATTTTCTGCAGTACCAGCTTAGTTGTCATGAATTCTTTTTGTTTCTGCTTATCTTGGAAGGTTTTTATTTATCCTTTCATTCTGAAGAATGATTTTGCTGGATTAAGCAATCTTAGTTGACAATTATTTTAATCTTACAATTTCTTGTTATAATAATTCTTTTTTTAAATAAATGAATGTTTAGTGTAACAGAATTTTTTTTCCAACTCACACATTAGTTGAGAAGGGAAACCACAACAAGTGGGAGAAACTTGAGCACAATTTTGAAACAAGAAAATTTTGTGTTAAGCAAACTTCATGGAAAAGTAAGAGGAACATAACTCAGAAGACCTAGGTTTGAATTCTGATTCTACCCTTTGCTACAATAGTGCTTCTGTCTAGTGACTATCTAATATGCCAGGCAGTATACATGTATTATTCCTAATTTTCAGATGACTTGCCAACTCTATTATATTTCCTCCATTTGCAGGTGAATAATTTGAAGAAAGAAAACAATTAATAATGTTAATGACATCCCTGATCAAAAGTGTTGCTAAAAAAATAATTTTTTTTAAAAAAACACAACTTTTTATAATGACACCAATAGTAATAATACTGAGATTAAAACTTAAAGATTGTGTCAGGCATTATGTGTTATGCAGTCTGTATTTATTACTTAACTTAATCTTCACCAATAACTTTTATAATCTGATCTTTCAGAAAAGAAAATGGAGTCTTTTAATAGAAGACACAGAGAAAAACCCACATAAATACAGTTATCTCATACTAGACAAAGGTGCCAAAAACATGCATTGGAGAAAACATAGCCTCTTTAATAAATGGTTTTGGGAAAACTACGTAACAAAATGAAATTAAACCCTATCTCTCACCCCACACAAAACTAAACTATGGAACTGAACAGACACCTCACAAAAGAAGAAATACAATCGATCAACAAATATATGAAAATATAGAGAAATGCAAATCAAAACTACACTGAGATTTCATCTCACTCCAGTCAGAAGAGCAATTATCAAGAATACAAGTAACAATAAATGTTGATAAGGATGTGGAGGGGGGAAATGTACATTCATACATTGCTGGTAGGGTTGTAAGTTAGTGCAACCACTCGGGAAAGCAGTATGGAGATTCCTCAGAAAACTTGGAATGGACTCATCATTTGACATAATTATCCCTCTCCTTGGTTTATACCCAAAGGACTTAAAAGCAGCATGCTTCAGTGACACAGCCACATCAATATTTATGCAGCCCAATTCACAATAGCCAAACTATGGAACAAATCTAGATGCCCTTCAACATTTGAATGGATAAGGAAAATATGGTATATATACACAATAGAATATTACTCAGCCTTAAATAAGAATGAAATTATGGCAGTTGCAGGTAAATAGATGAAGCTAGAGAATATTATGCTAAGCAAAATAAGCCAATCCTAAAGAACCAAAAGCCAAATGTTTTCTCTGATATGTGGATGCTAATTCACAATAAGCGGGGCTAGGAAAGAATAGAGGTACTTTGGATTAGACAGAGAAACGTGAAGGGAAGAGAGGGGTATGGGAGCAGGAAGGATGGTAGAATAAGTCAGACATTATTACCCTATGTGCATATATGACTACATGAGCAGTGTGATTCTACGTCATATACAACCCAAATAATGAGAAGCTATACTCCATTTGTGTATGATGTGTCAATATGCGTTCAACTGTAATGTATAACTATAACTAACTACAACAATTTTTTTAAAAAAGAAGAAAACTGAGTCTTTTGAGCTTAAGTGACTTATTCAGATTTGGTCACCTTATAGCCTCTTTTCTGGGACTAGAAAAGAGAATGGCTCTTGCCTACTTTAAGTGGATCTTTTCCAGTCATTTTCTATCCAGAAGGTAATGATTTCAGATAAAGTTGGTCATGAGGTCCCTTGGTTAATATGCCAAAGCTGCAACTAGCTTTGACCATCAGGGACAGCATGAAATGCCATTTTAACAACTCTGCAGACAATGGAAACATGGAGCAAAAGAGTTACTCTTAACTTCTAGTTTCTTCATAACAACTTCTGATGAATCCATAGCAAGTTATAAAAAATGAAAATAAAGCATGTGGGATATGGGCCTACTTGCCAGCTAAATTCATTGACTATACATAGGCACATGTACTTTATCATCTCTTGCCCCTTCAAGTTTCATTGGTAGACAGAAAGTATTTGTATTAATGCAGGTTAAAAAAAAAAAACCTATGGAATCTTCTAGTACAGATTATTTTGTCTAGTCTAAAATAACTTACTTTGTTAGGGGTAATAATCTGGAAAGGTTTCAGGGGAAAGGTAATGGCACTAGCAAAGTCTCTAAAAACCATGTTCTAGAGATTAGTCAGGGACCCTAGATTATTTTTCTCTAAGGCCTGGAAAAACACCCATATGCCAAAGGCACATGTAGAAGACCAAGGCACTATACCTGACAGCCCCAGCTGAGTACCCAGCTAACAGCTAGTGCAATGGCCAGCTATACTACTGAGCCATTCTGGGTGTTTAAGCTTAGACAAGCCCTCACTCAGATAACTGCATCTACTGCTAATATCATGTGAAGCTGAGGAACTACCAGATGAACTCCATCAAACCACAGAATTGTGAGAAACCGAAATGGTCCCTATTTTAACTCATTAAGTGCTGGGATTGGTCATTCAGTGGTAGGAATTAACAGGAATAGGCATATAGTTAGAAATAATTAGGAGGCAGGTTTGAGCTGATAAGAGAAAAGAACTTTTTAACCAATAAGATTATTTGTTGTTACACCTGGTATAATCCATAGGAAGTGAATAATCCATTCTGAAATTGTTCAGAACAATTAGGGTATCCATTTGAGACTAGATGAGATTTGGACTTTCTAACCTCATGTCTTGGATTGTATGAATTATTTTTTGACACTCATCTGCTGTCTGCAGGATTTTAATAAATAAAATTTTTATATCAGCTTATAAATTTGCTTTTTGCTTTTCTCATAATCATAAAAAATGTTTAATTGATTGATACCCTGGTGTGTTATATGTTTTTGTCTGAAAAATGTATTATTGAATCAAATGACAATTTGGTTCATTTCAGTTAAGTAAATATTATTTGTTTGTTTTTTATTTTGAGATGTCACTATGTTGCCCAGGCTGGTCTTAAAGTCCTGGGCTCAAATGATCCTCCTACCTTAGCCTCCCAAGAGCTAGGACTATAGGCACATGTCACTGGCCCTGGTCAGAAAATATTAATTTAATTAATTATACAAGATTCATTGACAAGCAAGGAATACAGAGAAGAAAATATAGTCTGTCCTTACAGAACTTTCTATTAAAATAGGTAAATGGTGAGTAAATAAACCACTAACTCCAATACCCTGTAGAATCTTAGCACACCATGTAATATCTAAACAATGCATTATAAAAGGATATATAAAGAGGAATCCCATTTGACCATGGCAATTAGAGAAGTCTAATGATAGCTACCATCAATCAAAATGAATTTGAAATACAGGATTAATTGGAAAAAAGGAGAAGGAGAACATTCCAGGCAGAGAGGAGAACTTGAGCAAAGGTCTAGAGCAGGGATGTACAAGAGGAACAGAAGTTGTCTAGTTTAGGTAGATCACTTGGTAGATGCTGGACAAGAGACAAGAATGAAAGGAGATGCTCTGAGCAGAGTTTAAGGGTTGAAAACCAGGCTGATATGCATACGTGATTCTGAAGGCATCAAGGGCATGCTGGGTATTTTAAAGCATAGAGGTTGCATCACCCCAGCTAAGCTTTAGAAGGATAAATAGACTTGTAGAAGAGAATGGAGGGGAGGTAATTAGAACCAAGTCTGGAGCCCAGGAGCCCAGTTAGGGTCATTTCAACAACATTTCCACTCGGATGTGCCATAGGTCTCTCAAACCTATTTTGGGCAAGAGAGAGATCTCTTCATTTTTCCCACCAAATATGTTATTCCCTTAACCTTCCCCATCTTAGTAAATGGCATCACCATTCCATCCTAGATGGAAACTGAATGTCACCTTCATTTGAATTCTCCATTTTCCCTACCCTCACATCTGACCCATTAGGAAGTATGGACACTACCTCAAAAGGACATTCTTTATCAAAACATTTCTCTCCATTTTCCTTGTTAACACCTTAGCTTAGAGAGTCCTAAACCTTCACTCAGCTGATAAACCCATCTGAATGATGTTCTTTTTTTCACATTCTCCAAATGGCAGCCAAAGAGTTCTGCTCAAAGTATAAGTCAAATCCTACCACTCTCTTGCTTAAAATACTCCAGTGGTGGTCCATTGCAGTTAGAACAAAATCCAAACTTTTTATCTTGGCTTAAAAAAGCCCTGTATATCACGTCCTCTGCTTAACCTTCAGACTCTCTCCTTTCTCTTCATATCCACAATGCTGCAGCTTCTTTCCAGTCATTAGCATTTACCAAGCTCAGTACCACATCAGGGACCATTTAGTTTCTGGGTAACAGTAGCTTAACTCTGCTGGTAGAGTATCAGTTAAGTCTCATTCTTTTACTGTGAACTTTTACAGAGCAGGGTCCATATCTTACTCATTCAATCTATACACAGCTTTTCAACAGTCACATGTAAAGATTTTTGGTTTCTGGTTATAGCAGCTATTGTAGAAATCTTGTGGGAAGCCCCTCAGAAGAAGACTCTTCTAGTACATTTCCTCCCAGGCTGCTTCTCCAGAACTACATTTGGTTGATACTCACTGGAATATCAAAGATAGAAGTGGGAAGAAAAGGAAGAACAAGCCAGCCCTGAAGCTCCAGACTCCTCCATTTCCCAGTTCCAACACTATTTCCTTTTCCATTTGTTTCTCTATAGAAATTGTGGTTCAATCAATTGTACATTTTTTCACTTTATTTTATAAAAGAATATATTCCCTTGAATGTATGAACTCACCTATTCCTTCCATTCCTTTTCTTACTGCATTTCCAAAACACACCTCCAACTAAACCATGGTACTGGTGCATTCAATTCCTGGTGAGGACTGTCTTCTTGGCTTGCAGATAGCTGTCTTCTCTGTCCTTACCTGATTTTTCCTCAGTGTATCTAGGTTGAGAGGGAAAAACAAGATAAACTCTCTGGAGTGTCATTGAGAGCACTAATTCCAACATGAAGGTCCTACCCTTATTACTTTATCTAAACCTGATTTCCTCCCAAAGGTTACCTCCAAATACTAATGCATTGTAAATCAGGACTTCAATATATGAATGGGGGAACAAAATTAAGTTCATAATATCTCCTTATTAAAATATATCCTACCTGGAATATTCAGACTTCTATTTTTCCTGACCTAGCCCATTGGTATCAGCAAAGGCAAACAAAACAAATCAGCAATTCAGTGGTAGGAGCAGGTGTGTATCCTTCAAAATCACAAGGAAAAGTCACATAAACTCCACATCTACCAGTGTCCTCCCACCAGACACCACCCAAAGAAGCAATTACCATTTCCAAAGGATTCAAGAATGAAGCTCCATCAAGTCAGGAAATGCAAATGCCATAATTTTATTCTCTTTTATTGCTGAGTAATATTCCATTGTGTATATATGCCACATTTTTAAAAATCCATTCATCTACTGAAGGACATCTAGGTTGGCTCCACAGTTTAGCTATTGTGATTGTGCTGATATAAACACTGATGTGGCTGTGTCCCTATAGGATGCTGCTTTTAAGTCCTTTGGGTATAGACAGAGGAGAGGGATAGTTGGGTCAAATGATGGTTCCATTCCCAGATTTCCAAGGAATCTCCATACTGCTTTCCATATTGGCTGCACCGATTTGCAGTCCTACCAGCAATGTGTATGAGTGTGCCTTTTCCCCCACATCCTCACCAACACTTATTGTTGTTTGTCTTCATAATAGCTGCAGGTAAATGGATGCAGTTGGAGAAGATAATGCTAAGTGAAGTTAGCCAATTCAAAAAAAAAAACAAATGGTGAATGTTTTCTCTGATATAACGTGACTGACTTAAAGTGGGGTAGGGAGAGGGAGCATGAGAGAAATAGATGAACTTTAGATAGGGCAGAGAAGTGGGAGGGCAAGGGAGGGGGCAGGGAGTTAGCAATGATGGTGGAATGTGATGGACATCATCATCCTAAGTACATGTATGAAGATGTGAATTGGTGTTAACATACTTTATATGCAAACAGAGATATGAAAAAATGTGTTCTATATCTGTAATAAGAATTGTGGTGCATTCCACTGTCATTATTTAAAAAATAAAAACAATTTTTTTAAAAAAGGTTTCAGGAAATGGCTATACTATATGGTCTCAGCCATTTCCCACTAAAAAGAACCAAGCAGAGCCAGGGCATCTTGTCATCGGAGACTGAGAAAGTTGTCAGAGACCTCTGGAGGCATAGGAAATGACAAAAGAGCTAAACTGCAGAGGCTCTTTGGGCCCAAACTAAAATAAACAAGGCAAAACAATGTAACCTTTGTGCTAAAGTTTGGGTAAGCGTCCTCCAGAGGTCCACATTAAAAGCCTGGTCCTCAGCCCATAGGACTATTGGGAGATGATGGAACCTTTGTGAGGTGGAGCCGCCTGGAAGGAAGTTAGGTCATTGGGGGTGTGCCCTTGATACTGGGATCCTGGCCCCTTCCTCTCTTTGCTTCTGGGCCACCATGAGGTAAGCAACCTCCTTCAACCCAAGCTCCCACCATGATGTACTTCTTGCATACCACAGCCCTCAAAAAGTTGGTCAACTAAAAAGGATCTGAAACTGTGAGCCAAAGTAAACCTTTCCTCTTTCTAAGCTGATTATCTCAAGTAATCATTATAGCAACAAAAAGCTACAAACACAGCCTGCAACAGATTACAATACATCAAATATGCTAAAAATCTGAGAGTTCATAATACAGAAGAAAATTAGTCCTCTTTGGAGGTTGTTAGAAAAACAAGCCACTATTCTGAAAACTAGTAAACAAAGGAAAAGAGTTGAGAATTTGTTGCATCTTTCCTGTATAAACACTACTATTCAAAGTAAGAAAATAGTAAAACAAAGGTTCAAAAAGAGGGCTGGGGTTGTGGCTCAGTGGTACAGCATTTGCCTACCATGTGTGATGCACTGGGTTCAATTCTCAGCACCACATATAAATAAATAAATAAAAGAAAAGAATGGTGTTCATCTATAACTAAAAATAAATAAATAAATTTTAAAAGTTCAGGAAGAATTGTATTTCCCTGTGGCTACAGTTTCCTGGAGGCAGTCCCTTATCTGTAGCCATAACTCTCACCTGTTTCTTGAAATATTTCTAAGCACCTTCAAGTCAAAGGATGCTGTGTTAGTTTGCTAAGGTTGTGTGATAAAGTACCACAAACTGAGTGGCTGAAACAGCAGAATTATCTTATCTCACAGTTGTGGAGAAAACTGCAAATCTGAGATCAAAGTGTTAGTTGGATGTGATCCTTCTGAGGGTTTTGAGTTGGATGTGATCCTTCTGAGGGTTGTGAGAGAGAATCTGTTCCATTCTCCCTCCTGTCTGGGTGTGCTGGCAGTCTTTGGAGTTCCTTGGCTTGAAGGAGCATCACCCCATCTCTGCCTTTGTGTCCACATGGCCTTGACCCTGTATATGAGTGTGTGTGTGTTCACATTTCCCCTTTTTATAAGGAAAATTCCTATGGGATTAGGGTCTACTCTAATGATCTCATTTAAATTTTATTACCTCTATAAAAAAAAACTATGTATTTCCAAATAAGCTCACATTCAAAGGTATTGGGGAAGATTCCAAGATATGTCCTTTGGGGGGACATGATTCAGCCCATGACATGCCAGCAGCATCTACTATTGCTAGTCCTCTGGTGCGTCACCATTTCTTGTAGACCACCTTAAGTTTTCTCACAACTGACAAATGGTTCCTTTGTTAAAGCCCCTTAGCGTATGCCAGGTGTGCTCTGGGACTATGACTGACACATTCACTTTTGAGAACTATTTAATAAATTGACAGAATGAAGCAAGAGTGGCACAGGTGACAGGTGAAGTGAGGGAGGGCTGTGTCAGGTCTATTTCTAATTTTCTGCCTTGTAATTGGTAGGCATGGTGCCTTCCATTGTGATCAGGCATGCAGAGAAGGCTGGGTTGGGGAATTCAAGGGAGATAATAAGTATGTGTTCAGTCACATAAAGAATGTATAAACCATACACACAGAAAACTGGAAAGCCTGCATTATAATGTTTATATGCCCTGGAAATACAAAGTTGGCAGTGGAGATTTTGGGCTCTGCCACTTGCTAGTTGAGGCACTTGCGACAAAAAAAAACCCTAACCTTCTTATTCTTTATTATGTCCATTTTTATCTGTAAAATGAACAGGACAATATCCACCATATAGTTTGCTGTGAGGATCAGTGAGTTGAACCACACAAAACACTTAACAAAGTGTGGAGCATGTATAAAGGAAAGAGATGTTAGTATTAGCCAGGATGACTTTTATATACTTACTTTACATCTAGACAAAGTCTCACCAGCAATAAAGGTTTCAAAACAATCCACCCAGATCTCTATAGATACAAGTTACAACTTTTAACTTTCACTTATTTTCTTATTTTCCACTACAAATTTCAAATTATTTTAAATGCAGTGCCAGGTAGCAAAAAGGTTGTTGGCAGGTTTGTACTTCTAAAACTTTGTCTTTTCCATTTAGTTTTGAACTCAATGAGCCTACTTAGTTTTTAACCCTGATGCTGAGTATCAGTTGGAGATGTGAATATATTTCAAAGCAATGTAGATATTTTAGGATGTCAGGGGACTTTGGAAAATAATGTAGTCTGACCTCTAATTTTCAGATGATGAAATTAAGACCAGAGAGGTTAAATGATTCATCTGAAGCCACAAAACTAGAGGCAGAGTTGGAACTACATTCCAGGCCTCATGACTCATAAGCCAGCCCGTTCATCTCCATCATGGCAGCCTACAGCAAAACAGTCCTGAAAAATGTTTGCTGCCCAGAATTTTCAATTTATGTAATGAACTCAACCCCTCTCTGTAGATACAAGTTAGAATTAGAAATGAGAGCCCAAAGCAAGAGTTCAAAAAATGATGGTGTTATAAATCTTCCAAAATGATTCCTCTGAAAAATAGACGAATGATGATTTAGCTAGAATTTTTAACTTTCAAAATTTCTATTCTTAGCGAGGAGTCCAGCTATGTTCACACATGGGAATTGACTTTTCTTAGACCCTTGACCTGAGTTGTCACTTTCTAAGTTTTCTTTTGAAGACTTTGTGACTTTTTCCCCATCTACAACAATCAATTAACTTAATGCTGTGTTCAAAATTATATATCTTAAAAAGATTGTAATTTAAGGAAATCTAATTCAATGAACCAATGAAATATTAAAGAGGTGATATGTGCCTTTTTATAATGAACATGGTTTTTAAAGATGGAGTGGAAAAGGCCTAAGCTTCCCAAATGAGTCATTTATGTTGTGATACTTGCATATAATTCTGTGGAACTAAGTAAGTCATTTTCCCAGTGGGGATAGAAGGAACCCCAGAGATACACTTTATTTTTCCCTGTCACCTCATTTGGTGTAAGAAGGAAGGGATTTAGGAAAAACAAAAGCTTCCAGGCAAATTTGGAGAAAAAATTAGAACATCATTTCCTAATGCAGGATATAACTTTTGTTTGAATAAAAGTATGTTGAATAGATATATTCAAGAGAGAAACTAATCTAACTGAACTGGATTTTGTTAAAAGGATTCTATTATCTATTACTTGGTATCCATAGCAACTGAGACATCTCCATACTTCTTTCCACCAAGAGGGAGGAAAATAAACAGCCAAAGAGCTTGCTGCTTCCTAATATCCTTATTATGGGTAATAAATTACTATTTGAATGAGACATCTTAACAAACCCTACTATTGCTTTACTTTTAAAACAGACCAACAAAAGGAAGGAATAATAAAATCTAACCAAAACACAGGAACGAAAACCCAGCTCACTAGAGACTGAGGCTATACATGGTTGCAATAGCACTTCCAAAGAAGAAGGGATTTGCTCTCTGAACTTCACCCCAGACTGGCTGATGTCCAAGGCAGAACATGTTCCT